TTTTCATGCTAGGAGTTACAGTGGCGTTCTAGAAACAGAAATTCCAGTTGGCAGTTCTCTAAGGCAGTGGTTCCCTTGCGGGGAGACTGTCCGACCCAGGGCTTCACCCAGGAGCAGCTTATTTTGACTGCTGAAGCTCTCCACCCCCGTCCTGCGGTTTCTGACCCAGTGGATCTGGGATAAGGCTCCAGCCCACTGGTCACCATGCTTTCGGGGCCACGCCAATTCCTGGACATGGTTTCGGAGCGTGCAGAGCCAGGTAACCAGGCTGTACAAGTGGGCCCAGGAGTACCTTGGTGAGCTGATAATCAGCACTAGAAATTCTGGTTGCTCGTAGTATTCTGAGATGTTTTGCAGTGCTTGAAAATTGTTAATGTGAAAGTTCTGCTGAGAGGGAAGGTAAAGGCAGTGATGCTCTGCTCACGAAGAACCTAGCGGGGCCAGAGTGACAGATAGCGGGAGGCCTTGCACAGCACCAACCCGGGGTCGGTCCCCACATCCCATTTGGTCCCCCGAGCACCACCAGGAGTAACCCCTGAGTATCACTGGATGGGACCTTAGGCTTCTCAGATTCAGATGGCCTAAGCATTTTATAGGTGGCAAGCTTATATGCATGAATGTGTAAATGAACAAAAATAGCATCAGACCTTGTTGCTCTTTGCTCAGAGAGCTTGCATGGCCCTTAAGTATTACTATCTGCAGAATTTTTGGAAATGGAAACAGTTTATAAGCTACGGGAGGCAGCATGTTGAATCCAGTGCTTGATGTTTCACTAATTATTTTATTGAATTGATCTTTCCTACAGGTGATGGGCCACAGTGTAGAGATTATGTCATAAGTCTTGGCGTCGTGAAACCTTTACTTTCTTTCATAAGTCCATCTATTCCTATAACTTTCTTACGAAATGTCACTTGGGTTATGGTCAACTTATGTCGCCACAAAGACCCACCACCCCCTATGGAAACGATTCAGGAGGTAAATGAGTGTTTTGTTTGTTGGACTCAATGATATCATGAGGTATGGATTTTTATCTATATTTTTTAATTTGTTTTTCTTTTCAGATCCTTCCAGCTCTTTGTGTTTTAATTCATCACACAGATGTAAATGTGAGTAAATCAGTCTGGGCCTCCGCTCCTCTGCGAGCTCTCTGGCTACGCAGGAGGGTCCTGGAATGGCCACATAGTGTCTCACAGGATGATACCAGGGGCAGGAGGGCCCAGAGCATTACAGCACTTGCTTTGCCTAAGGCCAGCCCAGATTCAGGTCCCTGCACCCCACAAGGTCCCCTGAACGCAAGAGCCAGGAGGAAGCCCTGACCTGAGCACCACCAGGTCTATGGCCCAAAAACGGAAGTATAGGCTAGTGCCAACACAAATGCAAAGGAAAAGGCAACTCAGGAGGAAGTATGGTTGAGGTAGAGAACATCTTTTTTCTGTATCTCAGACCATCCGCCCTTGTATTAGAAATAGAAAACCTTCCATACTGGGAGAGGAAACTGCGTTGATAAAATGCTTAGAGCAGTAGGAAATTTCTGGTTTGTTAACAGATGATTTGATGTCAAGACCAAAGCTTGATCAGCTGTTTTATTTATTTACAGTTTCTAATGCAAAGCCTTTGTACTCTGGAAATGTACTATATCAAACACAAACAGGATACATACTATTCATTAGATAAAGGTGTGACCGCTGCGGCCCAGAGAGCTGGTACAGGGTGAAGGTGCTTGTCTTGCACACGGCCAGCACCAGTTCTACCTCCACATACGTGGAGTTGTTCCACAGAAGGTTTCCCTCCCAGGCCCAGCCATGTGTGGTGCTGGGGAAACCCAAAAGAAAAGAACTTATCCCTTGCCTTGCATATACAGAGTCCTGGGCTCAGTTCCAAACTCCACAGAAAAAAATGTAACAGTTAAAAGGTTTCAAACCTCTGGCTTATCTGACAGGCTGTATTTTAGAAATGCCTTGAAATAATAAAAGTAACAGACTGTTGTATATTTTTCTGTGCAATTGTACTGTTTTGTAGCAGTAAAATAGTTATTTCATTTTGACTATAAATTCTGATGAAGAATATCAAAGAAAGATGAAGCACAGTGACCTGCTATTCTTAAATGCATTCATACGTGTAGGTGACTTTCCTGGTGTGAGTTACCTGGGGTGGGCCAGAGCCAGCACAGTGGGTGGGGCTCTTGCCTTCCTGTGGCCGACCTGGGTTTGATTTCATATGGTGCCCTGAGCAAAAAGCCAGGTGTGGCCCAACATATTTTTTTTTTTTTTTTGCTATTTTGGGTCACACCCGGCGATGCACAGGAGTTACTCCTGGTTCATGCACTCAGGAATGACTCCTGGCAGTGCTCGGGGGACCATATGGGATGCTGGGAATCGAACCTGGGTCGTCCGCGTGCAAGGCAAATGCCCTACCCGCTGTGCTATTGCTCCATCCCCAACCAACAAAGTTTTTTAAAGGAAAAAATACAACAGCTTTAACTTTAACATCAAGCTACATTCTTTTTCCACACTTCCCTGGACTTGGTGATGGAAATAAAGGTGCTCTGATGAGCCATGTGCTCTGGGTTTCGTATGGACCAGATGGTCTTTCCGAGCTGTCTGGGCATTTGCCACGGGGCTGTGGGAGAAAGATGCACGTACTGGTACGGGCAGTCTCACATACATCCAGGATAAAGGACGGTGGCATTTATCGGTATTAGAGCAGTGACTGAGCTGAGTTTCAGCAGGTGAGAAAATGCTCCCAGCCACTCTGAACCGTGCTTTCTCCCCAGATCCTGGTAGATACGGTCTGGGCGCTGTCCTACCTCACAGACGCCGGCAACGAGCAGATCCAGATGGTCATCGACTCGGGGATTGTCCCGCACCTGGTTCCGCTGCTCAGCCACCAGGAAGTTAAGGTCCAGGTGAGTTTGGGTTCCCTGTTCTGGTCATTTTTCCCCTTTTCTTCTTCCATTCCTCCCACCCCCGTCCCACCGCCCTCTGTCTGCTGTCCTTGGTGACTGTCCTGCACCAGAGCACTTTGTTCTAGAATGTGCTGCTCACAGACTTCCTAAAGGGGCTTGGGTTTTAATTACAGTCATACAAAAAAGAAATTTTTTTCCCTTTAGTTTTTAGGGAGTTTTTTTTTTTTTTTGTATTTGGAGGGGAGGTGCATACCCAGCAATTCTAGGGGATTCTCCTGGCTCTGTACTTGGGGATCACTCTTAGTGGTGCCTGACTGTCCGTTTGGGGCGCCGGTGCTCACACCTGAGTCTCCTGTGATCAGAGCACGCCCCCCCCACCCCCCCGTGCTGTTGCTCGCCTATTGTCATTTGTGGTCCTTCCGTGTGAATCTGTGTCCTGAGGGACAAGAGGAGGGGCGGTTGGGGTAGGCAGCGATCACGGGAGAGTGAGCCTTGACCAAGCAGGAGTGGCAGGAGAGAAACCTAGTGTGATGCTTAGAAGGAAAGTGCTCTCGGACTATTTCTGCCTGTGCAGTGGGGATGAACTCCTACAGCGCTGGTTTGGGGTCCCGGGTGGTGTCTGGCACTGCTGGGGGTGGGGGTGGGGCACCCAGGACTGAGCCCAGTTTGGCTGCGTGCAAGGCCAGCGTCGGCCCGCTGTGCTCTCGGCAGCTTCCCGCAGCACCCGGCTCTGCGCTCAGGACTTGCTCCTGGCAGGCTGGGGGACCAGCCGTGGTGCCGGGGCCGGACTAGGCTCAGCTGCGTGCAGGGCAACACTCCGCGGTATCTGCCAGTCTCTCGGCCTGCCGGTCTGTTGTTTGACACTTGGTGGTTTCGTGGTCATGGCCGCTGAATTGGGTGCTTTGTGAGGGTGAATTTCATGACATGTAAATTTTATCAGTTTGGGGCCAAATGATAAGACAGCAGGAAGGGTGTTTGCTTTGCATGCAGCCGAATCACGTTCAATTCCCAGCATCTCGTTCAATTCCCGGCATCCCGTATGGTTCCCCAAGCACTGCCAGGAGTAATTCCTGAGTGCAGAGCCTGCAGTAATCCCTGAATATCACCAGGTGTGGCCCAAAAAGAAAAGAAATAAATAAAACTCGTCAGGGGCATAAACTGAAGCAAATGCTTATTTAAAAAAAAATCAATTTGGGAAAAAATAAAACTGGGCCATTTGTCCCCTAAAAAGAAATTGGCCAGAAGATTTAACTTGACAAGAACTAGAGAGATGAGTAGTAGAGTGGACAGGGCACTTGCTTTGCATATGGCTGACCCAAGTTCAATTCCTGGCACTCCATCCTGTCCCCTGAGCCTGCCAGGATTGAACAGCAACCAAAAGAATTAACGTGATAAAAAGGACCTAATGAAACTCTCTGAAATATTGATTTGGGTTCATATTATAGTGAAATATCATAGTTGAAATATCATGCTAAGCAGCTTCCCTTCTTTGTTGAGAAAGAATTTTTTTTTAATTTATTGAAGCACTATACCTAAAGTATATTGTCTTTGTTTCAATACCACAGCTCTTGTCTGACATTCTTACTCTGTCAGCTGTCTGTGCGGTGGTGTCAGCACCCTGAGAGCTGGGAGTGTGTCTTGTCGGGCTACTTCTTGGTTCCTAAGCCCTGTGTCTGGCACAGCTTGCTGGAAAGGACGGTTGGCATGAGGGGTGAATGTGTCTTTAGGGCCTGCCTCGTCCCCTTGGGGGGGGCGGCTTTCGATGCGGCCTTTGTGTTCCAGACGGCTGCTCTCCGAGCTGTGGGCAACATTGTGACGGGGACCGATGAGCAGACACAAGTTGTGCTGAACTGTGATGCGCTCGCGCACTTCCCGGCGCTCCTGACGCACCCCAAGGAGAAGATTAACAAAGTAAGTGCTTCCAGTGGACGGGGGAGAGTGGCTGGGTTATACTTAAAATACCAGCCCTGGGAACTCTCCGTGATGTTTTCAAGAGTGTTTTAGATCTCAGCAGAGGTAAAGGGATCTATAATGTGGACTAGTAAATTTTTCGTATATAAAACAAAAGAAGTAAATAGTCTTAATCTGGCTCTTTCGGAAATGATGAAATGGAGATTGGGTGTTGAATGTTGTGTGATTGAAAGTTTTTAGTATGTAAGTTTAATGATTTATAAATATTAGAGTGTATGAAGGGAGTGTGTGTATGTGTGTGTACGGGGCGGGGGGGGGGGGCGGAGGCTGCAGAAAGGGGGCACTGACCGGTGCTGCTGATATTGGAGTGCATCTGAGGCTGTTGTAAACCAACACTGCCGATGATTAGAACCCAAAAAACAGCTCACCTAAGTAGCCTCACACCCTAAAATCTCTAACAGGTTCCTTCAGCATGGTCCTGTGATCTGATCCGAGAGAGCCTGCCACTCAGTAGTTCTAGTCCTTTTCTGTCTTGTTTTAACTCTAGAAAGTGTTTTCCTGTAGCATATTAATGCATTTTATCAATTAAGTCGATTAGATGCACAATTATCTTACATCGCTTATTAGTGCTAGATACTCTTAAACACTTAAACACTTTGTTTGTTAGGTGTAAGCCCTTTCCCCTGGCACTTAAACACTTAAACCTGGATCTTAAACACTTTGTCTCGTTGCCATTGAAAAACACTCCCTTTGCCCTGTCAAGAGCAGCTGTCACAAGAAGGCCTGAGGAGTTCCGGAAAGCAGCCCAGGGGCCCGAGAGAGAGGATGACAGGGAGTGTTGGCCATGCATGTGGCCAACCCGGGTTCAATCCTGCCACCCCATGTGGTCCTCGAGCCCAGCAGGAGTGATCCCTGAGCACAGAGCCAGGAGTAAGCCAGGAGTACAAGCTAGTCGTGGCCTCAAAACCAAAGAAATTAAAATTAAAAAAATAAATCAATCAGCTAGCGCATTCTGCTTTAGTTTTTAAGAATTTCCTTTACAGAAGAGTATACTAAAACAGCCCACTATTGTGGGGGTTCAAGATTTACCTACTTTGACAGCACTCTTGATCAGTATAAAGAAACACTTTTTGGGGGGTGCTGAATCTCATTTATTAATAGTTTTAGGATTTGTGTTTATATTGTGGAACCATTCCTAATAAAGTGTTGGGCCCTGGAGTGAGTGAGTCAAGATGCAGGGTCTGTCCTGACAGACTGTGACACGACTCTGTTTGCAGGAGGCCGTGTGGTTCCTCTCCAACATCACTGCCGGGAATCAGCAGCAGGTCCAGGCCGTGATCGACGCCAATCTTGTGCCCATGATCATACACCTTCTGGATAAGGTAAGGAAACCGCCCTGTGTTCAGCCTAGTGCCAGAGGAAAGGGCTTACACCAAACACACCCCAGGAATGTATACTTTCCTACTTAATTTGAACCTACTATGTGTTGTGAGTATTCAAATTTAATATTAAGATCTTATAGTTGTGGTCAGAGCGCTAGTATGTAGTAGACCCAGTTGGAATGCTCAACATCCCATATGGCGTATGGGCTCCCCCAGAACTCCCAGGAGTGATCCCAAGCACTGTAATTCTGTGAGCTGGCAATGAATGGTCAGAGGGGGAGATGCACAGAGATGAAGGCGAAGGCTTATGTCTTGCACACCGCCCCCTGGCTTGGGTTGGTTTTGCCTTTGTTTCGCTGTGGCCCTCGGGGCTGCTGTCCCAGGGCCTTTGCACTGCACTGTGAAGGTGTTCTTTTGTTCAGCGGAGTCACGGTCGCTGCGTGCTGTTGGATGTGCTCGGTCGCTCTTTAAGAAGAGCTGGCATTTGTTTTCCGGGTGATGTACGATTCCCAACCTGTGAAGGGGGCTCTGTCGTGTCTGTCCCCTGCAAGCACTGCCCGGGCTCCTGACTCCCTGCTATTTCCGGTGGCCACAGCAACCTGTTGCCTGACTTGGCACCGCTGTGCTCTGCTGACGGTTTGTGGAGAGGACAGTCACCAGGCTGCTGCATGAATGCCAGCACCCCCAGAAGGGACCCTGCCTTCCCACCGGGGGGAATGACAGCCTTTAAAAGATACACAGTATTACTTGGCTTGAAATTATTTTCTTAGTAGATTCTCAAAAGTGATATTGCTAAATCATATAATCATGCATAGTTAAATGACTTAAAATAGTTTTTGTCTTCAAAGGATGATAGATAAGGGCAACTGTAGTCGATTAATGTTAGACATTATCATTATTATTATTTGATTAACATTAATGGGTTTGGGGATCACACCCAGAAGACCAGATAAATGGTGTCGTACTTGCTGTGCTCTCTCTCTAGCCCCTGCCAGTTTTTCAAACTTGTGAAATATTTTTACTTGACTTTGAGTAAAGTCGTTGTGTGCATTCCCATATTTCTCTTGACCAATCATTTCATCTAATCTTGTGTCATTGAACAGTAATGTGTTGTCACATGGTTGCCAGGAGAATTCACACACTTCAGAGTGGAAAGGCTTGTTTTAATAGATTAGAAAAAGTTCTGGATGTGGGAAAGCTAGAAGAAAACCTGGAAAATACTGAGTTAAAACTTACTTCAGTAAACATTCTTTTGGTTGACTTTTTATTGGTTTGTGACCTTACTTTACTTTTACAGGGGGATTTTGGCACTCAGAAAGAAGCTGCTTGGGCCATTAGTAACCTAACGATTAGTGGAAGGAAAGATCAAGTAAGTTCAGCTCTTATTCTTTATAACTTTTACAACAGTTCAGGTCATTTTCACTCTTGGTTATAACTGAAGATAATAGCAAAAGAGGTTTCTGGTTTGGGGACTATGCAATCTCTCAATCTATAGACAAAAAAAAATGTTCTTTTTCCAATAACTTGGCCTATGAGAATTAATTATTCATGGTTACAAACAGGACTGGGTGCGGGTGGTGTGTGTTCAACCATAGATATATCTAGATATAAATTTTTTTAAAGGGACTTTTTAAAATAATAGGATAGAATGAGTCTACTTCTCATAGAGTCTCTCTGCAAATGAATTGCAACAACAGAAAAACTAAGATGGGGACTTCACAGTCCCTGGAGTTTGGAATTCAAAGAGGCACTTCGACCCCAAGTTGTGCAGGCCCCAGGGCTTACCATTGTGCCAACTGGCAAAAGAAAATGACTTCAGATATGGCACAGAATTGAACATATCACACGGCCTCTTAACTCCTCTCAGGATTTGAAGGGAAAGTGCTTGTTGGGGAAGAAACGTTTCCTGTGAGGTTGAGTGATGCCTTAGTTTTCCCTCTTTTTGTAACTTCAAGGAAAGTGAATTTACTACCTTAAAAATAAAGGGGGCTTGACTGGAGCGATAGCACAGCAGGTAAGGCGCTTGCCTTGCATGCGGCTGACCCAGGTTTGATTCCCAGCATCTCATAGGGTCCCCTGCGCACTGCCAGGGGTAATTCCTGAGTACAGAGCCAGGAGTGACCCCTGAACATCGCCGGGTGTGACCCAAAATAAGTAAATAAAAATAAAGCGGGCTTAGGAAGTTTAGTGCAAAGGGATGGGGCGCATGCTTTGCCTGTAGGAGCCCCAAGTTTGATCCTGAGACTCAGGGTCCCCAGAGCACCCCCAGTATGACTCCAGAAGAAAAGAATAGAATATTACGTTAATATGTTCCCGTACTCAGAATTCACCATTCCTCTGAGAATATCACTCAAATGAAGATCACTTACGTTTGGTTGTTTTCATCCCTTAGGTGGCTTACCTAATCCAACAAAGTGTTATCCCACCGTTTTGCAATTTGCTTACTGTAAAAGATGCACAAGTTGTCCAAGTAGTACTTGATGGTCTAAGTAATATATTAAAAATGGCTGAAGATGAGGCGGAAACCATAGCCAATCTTATAGAAGAGTGTGGAGGTAAGTTCTTCATAAGCGGTGTCACGTTTCAGAATTCCTTATGGTTCTTTTCTGAAAGATAAGGGAGGTAAGTATTAGCTGATTGAATGTGCTAATTCCCCTAAAAGAAGTGTGCAACAGAATGCAACACCTGCTCCTACCTGAAAGCAGCGGAATGTGATGGTGAAGCAGGATCGATCTTGAGAGATGAAGGATTAATAATGGGGTGAGGGGGCTCCGGGCACAGATAGCACCATGGACAGAATCTGGGCTGAAAAGGAGCAGGAGGGAAATCCACGTGGGTGGTAGGAAATGGATGCTGGTGAACTGGAAGGGTATTGAAACATTGTATAGCTCAAACCCAGTCATGAACAACCTTATAACTGTATCTCACTGTGGTCCAGTTAAAAAAAAAAACTGGAAGAAGGAAAGAAAAGTAGCATTCAGCAAACTCTCAGCAGTTCAGTGTTGCTGAACCAGCCACTGAGTGTGGGGTAGAAGCTGCCGGAAGCCGAGGCCGGAGACAGTATCACTGACGAGTGCCTGCAGTCCGCAGGCCTGGAGGCCAGGACCAGGGCACGCTCTGCCCAGAGAGGCCACGTGTCAGTGCTGCCCGGATCTGGGGAGCAGGCGTCGGTTAGCCGGGTGGGGAGTCGTGGGTATTGGCGACAGACTGAGAAGGAACAAAGAGCCGAGGGACAGGTGTTTCACCTGCTGCTGCTGGAAAGGCTCAGAAGCTTGAAGATTCGGGGTTTTGATGACTAGTTGCAAGTGGCAAACACAGCAGCAGAAATAACATGATAATGAGCAAACAAGAGATGGGGAATAGTGTTAGGGACAAAAGAGGAAGTAACTAGCAGAAAATGTGAAGCGTGTGTGTGTGTGTGTGTGTGTGTGTGTGTGTGTGTGTGTGTGTGTGTGTGTGTGTGTGTGTCTGCACCCAGCGTGTGTGTGTGTGTGTGTGTGTGTGTGTGTGTGTCTGCACCCAGCAGTCCTCGGCTTATTCCTAGCTCTGTGCTCAGGGATCACTCCTGGCAGGGTGTCGGGGACTGTGTAGGGTGGAACCTGGTCAGCCGCTTGCAAGGCAAGCACTTCATTGTTCACTATTTAATTTTACTGTGCAAACATTATTTAGTGAAATCTTATTTTTACATATTAAATTAAGACCTTGAGCATTGTTCTTACTGGAGCTGAGACTCAGAATTTGTATCTTACAATCTTCCTGCTGGATTCTACAATAAGGCAGAACTCCACAAGCATTGGAATTTTTCCCTTAAGGGATTGCCAGGGGCAGGGAATGTGGCTCTCGCGGCCCGGGCGGTGAGAGCAGGAGGCCGGAGTCAGGAGCTGAGAGAAGAGTTGGCCACTGAGGGTGAGGGGAGGACAGCACGGGGGCAGCAAGGTGAGGAGGGGGAGAGACGGCTGTGGTGGCGGAAGAGGAACCTACTTTCTCTCCGCTCTAGCCACTCACTGATAGTCACCAAGTACAGACACAGAAAGACATGAGCATTTGGTACCGTTTCATGGAAACTGAGAAATTATGTCAGGTTGTATAGGCATTTACAGTTGATATATCTGAATCTCAGAAAAGAAATGAAGTGAGGGGCCAGAGTGACAGTATCACGGGTAGGATGTTTGTGTTTGCACACAGCCGAACTGGATTCCATTCCTCTGAGCACCAGGTGTAATTCCTGAGCGTAGAGCCAGGACCAGCCCCTGAGCATTGGCAGGTATGACCCAAAAACCAAAAAATAAAAATAAGAAATGAAGTAGCCCTTGACCCTGTCTATGTAGCAAGTAAATTTGCTTTTTTGGAGTCACACCCAGCAATGCTCAGGGGTTACTCCTGGTTCTGCACTCGGGAATTACTCCTGGTGGTGCTCCAGGGACCATATGGGATACCAGGGATCGAACCTGGGTTGGCCACGTGCAAGGCAAAGACCCTTCTCACTGTACTATGGCTCCAGCCCCTATTAACTTTTTTAACAGAAGGGAATTATGTGTCCAGTGAGAAATATGCACAAAACAATTTTCTCTACTTAAGGAATAAATGGAGAAAAAAAATACTTCACTTGATTGAAATCTCACTAAAACTATCACTCCTTAACAGTAAAATAAGACTCATTTTTGCAAATCAGTTTGTGTTCCTTTTTTAATGTGTCTGCCTATGGTTTATGAAACAAATCCATGTTTGTAGTGAAAGCCTGGGATACTGTAGTTGACCTTGACAATTTTCCATTATCCATTTTTAGATATCTTACTATTCATATTTGCTTGTTTCAAGTATTACATTTTTTTTACAAGTGTTCACTAAAAAAAAATTTGCCAGATTCTGGAAAGTAGAAAGCATATGCTTTTAACCTTTAACAACCCAAAATAATTTCATTACTCCTTAGAAGCATTGGTTATTCTGAATATATGTCTTATTGCTTAAAGATTAATATGCAAAGAAAACACTCTGGTAATTCATCTTTTGAGATAAATATACTCTTACGTTAGAGTAAATTCTCAACTAATTTGCAATCCAAAGTTAGATGAAGTAGTTACAGATTATTGTATTTTGTCACTACTACTTAAGTGTTCAATCAAATTTGTTGCAGGACTGGAGAAAATCGAACAACTTCAAAATCATGAAAATGAAGACATCTACAAATTGGCCTATGAGATCATCGATCAGTTCTTCTCTTCAGATGATGTACTTAATTTTAGTTTTCTTATGTATTAGCATATTTTCATTAGTAATAGTGAGCTCAGATTTGTATGTTAATTTGGGGAAGTTGAGTTATAATAGATGTATAAAAGTAATTCACTTTATTCAGAAACACAAGCATTTCAGTATCTCCAAATGCTTCTGAGCATCATAGTAGGACTGGGAGCAGAGAGAGGGTTGAGGGTCAGGCAGTCCCTTGCACGCAGTCCACTCAGTCTGTCTATTGCATCACAGGGGGCGCCAGGCACCGCTGAGTGTGGCCCGAAGGGCCCCTGAGCACTGCTGGAGTGACCGTGATGTCCCTGACATTGGGAGGCGCGCGTAGCATTGCTGGCCCAGTCGGCTGAAACGCAAGGCCCTTTTCCCTGCCTACTGACCACTGCATGCGGTGGCCCTCCAAGCACCACAGAGATAGCCCAGCCCCAATTCCTCACCCGAGCCTCCACCAAGATACATATGTATATGTATATGTATTGAAGCGTTTTAAGCACTTCATTAAACATTAGGGTTTGCTCCAGGCATTGGGGCTGGGCCGGGAAGTGCATGTGGTGGGTGTGGAACGTCCTGGTGTCATCTCTTGGCCTGTCATACACACAAGTATAGCTGGAACAGTCTCTAACAAAGATGATTCAAAATTCTTCTTTAAAGGAGATAGAAGGGTTTTTTTTTTTAATATAAATTTATCACTCCTAGTCCTGTTTCGAGTATAATGCCAGTCAAAGGCACACAAGTAAAATTCAGAGAAAGCATATTCTTTTTTTCTTTCTTTTTAAAAATATGAACCGCTTTACAAATTTGCATGTCATCCTTGTGCAGGGACTCTGCTAATCGTCTCTGTATCGTTCCAGGTTTAGTATATGTGCTGCTGAAGCGAGCACAGAAAGCATTTTCTTAAAAATAGTTTCAATTGTACAGGATTTCATCATTTGCAGCTAGTCCGCACAGAAGCCTGTGCCTCCTGGCCTCCAGCTCGCAGCTCCTATGTGCAGTCATAGGGACTCTGGCGCCAAAACAAGCCTTCTGAGAAAGAGCGCCCTTTAAATCCATTAGGAGGGCTCTTGTTTGACGTCTTTGTGTTGCTTCTGGGCCAAATCTGTCAGTGCTCAGGGATCACGGTTGTCAGGGCTCAGGACAGCAGAGGGAGGCCAGGGATCAAACCCGGGCCAGCCATGTGCATGACAAGCACCCTGCGTGCCATACCATCTCCCTGGCACTTAAGTGACTATTTAAGCCCCAGTGTCATTCGTCTGCAAATGGCTGCTGCTGTTTAAACCATTAGTGAAAGTGGGTCCCTGCTGTCCAAGGCGGTGTCCATTTTTCAGTGGCATCAACTTTGTGTATTTGCCGAGTTGCGGGGACATGGCTGAGTCCCCTCTGCTCTCCTGGGTCCTCTTCGGTCCATTCTTTGGTTATCTGCGTCTTGCATTCTCCCTTAGCGTTCCTCTCTTTGTGCCATTCCTTTAAAAAAATAAAAAAGAAAGTTCTCCAGCTTTCTAAGGAGATTGTTCAACAGGGCTGGTCCCCTTTGTCCCTCTCCGGCTCTGTGCTAGGGGGTTGGGTGGTTGCCCTGCTGCACTGGGTACTCACCTCAAAGCTAATCCTCTCTCTGTTTTTCCCCTCAGATCGATGAAGATCCTAGCCTTGTTCCAGAGACAATACAAGGTGGAACATTCGGTTTCAATTCATCTGCCAACGTACCGACGGAAGGGTTCCAGTTTTAGAGCGATGTTGTGGAGTCAGGTCCAATGCAGCACTGAGATACACATATATATACGCGAATAGAGAGGTTTGATCCATCCGGCGTGGCTCATGGGGTCTGCTGCTGCATTAAATCGGGAAAGAAAATGTGAAGATTTCATTTGGAATCACAGAAAATGCCCAAATGAGGTCACGATGGCGAGTGGGTGCGAGTGAGAGTGAGTGGCAGAATGTCATGAAACCTTTACGTGAATGCTTGTTTAGGCTGTTCCGAGTCCAGAAAGGGCTGCAGGCCACGGCTCTCCCGTGCCTGAGCACTATGCAGTGCTGTCATCTTCAAGCCTTGGGAGCATGAGAGGACAGGGGCCCACCACGGCGAGCAGGGCGAGGCCGCGCCTTGCTGGGAAGCAGTGTGTGAGTGACGACGCTGAGTGAATGTCCGGCAGCGCCGCCAAGCCGGCTCGCCCCGACGGGCGCTTCCCCGAGAAGCCGACTCTGGCCCTGGAGTGAGCGGCGGCGCGTGTGGGTGTGGTGCTGTATGTGAGCGCGTGCGAGCTTGACTGGCCTTCGGGGCTGGCGACAGACCTGCTAGATCATCCGAGTGAGATGGCGAGTGTTCTGGACACTGGACACGAGTACCAAGGCCGCTTCAGCAGCAGACATCGGTTTCTCTGCAGCCTGGGCTTTCCTCTCCGCCGCCCTTCCCGCCCTCCAAGTTCCTTTGTGGTTTTGGTTTCTTTTGTTTTTTTTTTCTTTTTTTTTTTTCCTTTTTTCATTTTAGTTTTTATTTACTTTACCTAGTATGGCTTTTTAGTTGCTTCTCAAGTCAGAAAACTTTTCAGGAAGGGTTCCCTGTGCATTTGCACCAGATGAATGTTTGATGCTATGAAAAGCTTTCCATATCATCAGAACTAATTTGTGTAGATTTTTGCATGAAAAAAATCATAAATTTCCCTCCAGATAGACTGTGTTGCAGTACACAAGTTGCCATAATAGTAGAAAACAGTAAAACGTGCTTTACAAAGCATCCTTTTCATTTTCACAGAGAACAGACAGCCCGTTGCATGAGGTAAACCTCCAGCATAGTTCATTTTTAGATTCTGTTGAGTCCCGTAAAGAAGAAGAAAAGTTTCAGTTGTGGTAGAATACCGTGCTGTGTTTAAATGTTACTTGTTTTCAAACTTTGTTTTCTATGAAAATGATATGGAAACTTCTAAAATGGAATTTGGTGCATATGTACTGCTGAATAAAAGACCGATGAAGAGGGTTGAGTAGATGTACAAATCAAGTAATGGTTTGAACACCTTCAATAATATGCCTAATCTGTTCAATTGTTTTAGACTCTTTTTACCTTAGATATAGGCAGCCATGAACAATCTATTTTGAGCCACTTTAGGGAGAAAACTTTGTATTTTTAAAACTTGCATAGGAGTTATGCAAGTGGTTTTTATAAATTGGAATAATACCTTAGTTTCGAGGTCATGCACACTAAATTCAATGTGACATAAATGGATTTGTACAAAAGAACTCTTTATAAGGTGGCTCACTGTAGGAGACCCTGTGCCTTCCCCTTGGAGCACAAGCGTTGCATGGACAGCAGTTTGCTATCAGAAACATCCCAGGTTAGCCACCATTAGCATCTAGATCTACTTTGTGTTGAAAAATCAACTGGTAATTCTGAAACACTGTAGAATGGATAAAGATTATTTTGTGATCATAACTCTTTGTTGAACTAGAGTATTTTTGCAGCATTCCTTGTCATCAAAAACATGGTTAAAGTTTAAAACTAGAAGCAGCAGAAAACTAGCTTGTAAATTTATCCAAGTAGAGTGCAGGCTAGGCTGTCTTGGGGAAATAAACATTAAAACTTAAAGCAATGTTTTACATGGGAGATGTGTGTGTGTGTGTGTGCTGTGTGACTTTTCTTTTTGCCCTCCTGGTGTTAAACCGTGTCACTGGGTAACTAACTCTTGGCTCTCTCAAGCCACTGACCTGGAGCCAACCTGACATTCTGTAAGTGCCCTTTCAGTCTGAACATAGCGACACACTACGCCGCTGAGCTTGTTTTGCCGCTGCCCTGTGCTTCCACCGCTCCCGTCCAGATCACGGTCGGACCTTCCTCCATCTTCCCAGCAAGACAGACTTGAGTCGCGGCTCCCCCCACGTTCTCAGTCTGTTGGACCCAGCGCGTGGCCCCGAGGGGTACTGCTTACCGATCGTGGTTTTCATGCGGCCTCGCTGTCTCCAGGAGGTGGAAAAACAGCACTCGCAGTTGCTGCTGCTCAGTGAACGAAAACGGGGGTCACAGTGGGCTGCCAAGTGTGGGGCCGGCTCCCGGGGTCTGCGGATACCCAGCTCTGGAGACTCGGTCCTCCCTAAGGACTCGGTCATTGGGTTCCATGATGGAGCTAATACAGTTGCTTTGTACTAAATCCAGGGCATTCCCATGGTTCCATGCTAACCTTTAGCACGCGCAGTGGGGCGGCAGCCAGCCCAGGTGCGATCCCTGACATCCCATGTGGTCCCCAAAGCACCTCAGAACCACTAGGTGTGCCCCCACCCCTCAAAAAAACATTGGGCTCGGTTTATCTTCATGACTGCGATCCGTGGGTTTTCATTTCTTGATATGGGTATTCACGTGGAAAATCACCTGGTGGGTTGTCATGACCTTCATGACGGGGCCGTCCTAAGTGAAGCTCGGCTTTGGCTGTGAAGTGCAGTGATGATCGGCGTGCTGCCGTCTGTGCCCCGGCTCCTGCCTCCGCGGGGGGCTTGTCCTGCCACCCTGGGTTTTGAGCTTGATGAACTTTTATGCCATCTTTTATTTTTTAGAAAGTTTTGTTTTATTTGGGGGCTGCCCCAGATGGGACTTGGGGTGCCCTTTGTGGTGCCTGGGGTGTGAAGCCGGGTGGGCTCGTGCAGGCTACTGGACTGCAGCCACCCCTTTAGTACTCGCAGGGCCCACAGGCAGCTTTCGGGTTTGTCTTGGGGGGTATTTCAAACTAGAGGCTTCAGTGGGCTCAGTTGGGGGCTGGGGGTTTAGCAGAGTCTTTGTGCCGTCCCTCCTGGAGGTGCTCGGAGGACCAGCCGGGTGGGCCTGCTCTCGGCTCCTTGTTAGCCTCAATTCCCTGTCACCTTTGGGGCTTTGCCGCCTTAGGCCTTCCCTCCCTGCTTGCGGGCAGTTTCCAGGGGTAGCAACTGTCTCCACTGCAGTGGCTGCGGGGAAGCTGGCTTTGAGCACTTACTGGTTTCCTCCTTAAAATGCTTTGGTGTTGATGCCACACCCTGGTGCTCAGGGCTTCTTCCTGATCACCCTGAGGAGTCCCCGGTGAGCTCAGGAGACCCTATGGGATGCCGGGGATTAAGCCGGGACTGACCGGTACCACTGTCACTCTGACCCCATACAGGTTTAGGATAGTTGGGGACGGTCAACAAGGAGCTATTGGGGTGCCTAAAGAGCTAGTGAGCGAGGTGCCAAGTGCCCAAGAGTTGCCCACCTCCTGCCCCTTCCCCAGCAGCCTGTGAGTGACATCTAGATCCTTCAGGAAACCCAGGCTACCGCCCTCACCATCCCTGTGGATGCATTTCTCGCGTGTCTTGTACACGTGTTGCTGTGTCATGTGTGGGGAGTATTCGGGGGCCAGCTCGCAGAGCTTGGGTGATTGCTGACTCGGAATTGGGTCGTGGTTAGCTGCGTGCGCGGCAGAAATCCGTCCCACGCCCCACCTGGCGCCCTCCACACAGCAGCCTCTCGACTAGACCTGGGGCTTCCAAGGGGCCAGGCTGGCTGGTGGCGGCCATGCAGGTCCCTTGGGAATTGGTTGTGGCTTCTGAAAGGCTCCTTCAGATTTTGAATTTGCCTCACTGCAGACGTTTTGTGTGTGTTCCCAGGAAGGCATGCTTCCGCCTTTGCCAGGCTGATGGGTGGGCACAGACATGCAGGGAGAGGAGGGAAATACAAACGCTTCAGCACAACACGTGACTTGGAGGCAGTCGCTGCAGGGAACACGCGGCCTCTTATTTGAGAGACTTGGGGCCAGAGTCGTACAGCCAGGATGGCACTTACCTGCCTCCGACCCCAGCTTCATCCCCAGCACCACACCTGGTCTCTGAGTCCCGCCAGAAGTGATCCTAAGCACTGTCAGGTGTGGCCCAAACGGAACAAAAACAAGAGTGGATG